CGCTCGCATCGTAAAATTTTTACCACTCAAACAGTCATATGTTCGTACTCCAACATGCCACAACTGGTTTAACTCATGTATGAGTGGTTGCAAAAACACATCAAGGGCCCGCTTCGGGTGATTTGGACCAGGGACTAATATACTTAGAAACAAAAACTCTCTTTGCATGCACATATCTGGAGGAAGGTTATATGGCGTAAGAATCACAGGCCATAATGAATATTGCCTACCAGACATACCAAATGGACTAAACCCGTCAGTGCAAAGACCAAGATAAACATTTCGCTTAGACCTAGCAAAGTCTGGATGTACGGTGTTAAAATGTTTCCAAGATTTCCCGTCAGACGGGTGAGTCATTTTGCCATCTGTTTGTGAATGTTCTGCATGCCATCTCATCGACGCAGCTGTCCGTTCAGATTGATATAGTCTTTTTAACCTATCAGTGATAGGAAGATACCACATTCGTTGGTAAGGAATCTTCTTACGCCCAGCAATTTGCGGTCTATATCTTGGCTTTTGGCAGAAACGACATTCTTCAAGCTTCTCATCATCTCTCCAAAAAAACATACAATTATCAACACAAACATCAATCATCTTAGAAGGCAATCCAAGACTAAAAACCAGCTTCTGAATTTCATAATACGTTTCAGCAGCCAAATTATCATCTGGCAAATACTCTTTAATAAGATCTGCCCAATCGTTCATGCAAACTTCAGATAGATTGTGATCAGTTTTTATTGTCATCATCCGAGCTGCCAATGATAATTTTGATAAACCTTCCCTACATCCCTCGTACAGAGGCTGTTTTGCTGCGTTTAACATATCATAAAAGCGTTTCGCATCTGCATTGGGCTCCTCAACAGTATCAGCATGTGTTTCATAAAATGCATCAGTAACCATTTCATGCATCCTATCATGATCTTCACCCTGAACTTGACTACTTTGATAATCATTTGACGCTTCAAAATCCACATGTTCTTGATGATTACTACTACTCCGTGCAGCCATCTGACCACTACTTTGACCATATCCCTCTCCATGCTGATACCAAATAAAGTATTGGGGCATGAACCCTCTATTCAATAAATGCTGCCAGACAGTGTCAATAGGAATATGTTTCCTATTTTTGCATTTCACACAAGGACAATACATTTTGCCGCTTTCAATTACAGTTTGCATAAGGCCGGCTTGGTACATGAATATTTCCAATCCGTTTTTGAAGTCTTCAGTCAACGACCCATCAACATTTTTGGGCGTATACATCCACTTTCGTAGATCGTATATAGACATTTCAAAAACAAATATTTGACTTTTTGTTTTTGAAATTTGATATAAATTTCAACTACTAAAAATTTTACTTAAACATTCAAAGATTCAAAAAATTTGTGTCTTTATATGTTTTTTTAGGTTGATGAAATAATGAGAGAAGAAAGGGTATATATAGAATTTTTTGTTTGGTTACCAACATATTACCATTGCATATTTACATCAAATGTACGTCGAAATAAAATTTACATCACATTTACATCGATTTTACGTCAATTACAAGATAGAGGACAATTCGTCGTATTATCGATGCAAATATTACGACAACATTACGACGAAATAAAATTAGTTCTTTATTCGTCGTAATATCGTCGTAACATTACGACGATTTTACAAGGCTTATTTTTTACGTCGAATTTACGACGAAATTTTTGATCGTCGTAAATACGACGTAATATCGTCGTAAATTTACGACGACTACAAATCGTCGTAAATAATTCGACGGAAAACCCCCTCTTTCTTGTAGTGTTTGCAGCAAGTAAAATATCAACTACATATAAGACTAAAACCACAAATCTGCTCTCACTGGCCTTGATATAGATACACCGATCAACAATAATCTCTCCAAAACCATATGACATTATGGTATCATTAAACATAAAATACCATTGTCTGGAAGCTTATTTCAGTCCATATATTGACTTCTTCAGCTTACATACCAGATGTTCTTTTCATGTGGCCACAAACCCTTTAGGTTGGTCCATATATACTTCTTCCTTAAGCTCTTTGTTCAGAAAGACGGTCTTTACATCCATTTGGTGAAGCTCAAGATCATACTGAGCCACCAAAGGCAAAACAATTCTCAAAGAATATTTCTTTGAAACTGGAGAGAAGGTTTCTTTGTAATTGATTATGTCCTTTTGGGTAAAATCTTTAGCAACAAGACGAGCCTTGTACCTTTCTATGTTACTTTTCAAGTCGCGTTTTGCCTTAAAGACCTATTTACAACTAATAGTCTTGAAACCGTTAGACAACTCTACTAAGTCCCATACATTATTATTATGGTATCACCCTTAGACTTTATTTCTTCTTTCAAAGCAATCAACCACCTTTCTGAATTGTTACTTTCCATGACTTGTTGGAATGAGCTCGGGTCTTTGATAACATCGTATTTGTACCCATATTCACAAGTGATTTCAAATGATTTTTCAAAGGTTTTAATTAGTTTTAGAAACTTTTATA